AGGGAAAGAGGAAAGAAGGGGAGAAAAAAGGGAAAGGAAAGATATCGATACAGAGGTATAAATCGAGAGATAGAGTGAGACAAAAAGAAGGACTGATAACTCTACAAACAGACAAGAAACAGAAACAAAAGAGAGAATAAAAGTAAATATGAAAACATCAACAACAAGAGAAACAGTAGGAAAATTAGAAAAAGAGAAAGAGACAGCGAAAGCACACAAAATATCCAAAAACAGAAAAAGAAACGACGAAGGGAAGAATCACGTGGAAACAAGAAAAGAGGAAGAGACATAGTGTTGGCGAACGTAAGGGAGAAGAGTGAAGGTCGGAGAGCGAGGCAAAGGATCGTCGAGAAGAAGATATAGAAGGTGGTATACGAGGAGCAAGCGGGACGAGGAGCGAGTGGAAGATGGTGCTTAGCGAAGGGGAGATAAAGAGGGTGGAAGAGGCAGTTGCGAGACTGACAGGTCGTGCACGGGAGAGTGAGAGAGGAGTTTTTTTTAAGATAGGAGGTAGATTTTTGTGCGGAGGGAAAAAGTACAGGGAGAATATGTGATAAATTATGGTCCTTGTAGGCGTTTTGGGACAGAATGAATGGTGCTTGAATGGGGATGATAATGGCGATGGTGATGGTAATGATAATGATAGTAATAATGATAATAATGATGCTAATTCTATCAATGGTAATGATAACAGTAATAATATTGATAATAACGATATTCACATCAGTAAACAACTAACAGCAACAGTGATAACGAAAATAATGATTATGATGATAATAGCAGTGGTAATGAAAATGATGATTATAATAATGATAATAATGAAGAAGTTAATACGAATTTAAAGGCTAGAAAATTATACAATGTTATGGGCAGCAAAAGTCGAGTACGAAACCCACGAAAATAATTGTGAAATAAGGGAACAAAAGGGTGAAATGTGGTGAAAAACGTAATATAGAAGAAATAACGGTTAGCGTGAAGGGAAAAGTGATGGGAGGAGAGGAGAAGAGAGGAGAGTGTGATCATGGAAGCAGGATAGGGCGAATAACCAGGGCAGATAATGAGGAAATAATAGGGGAGAAACATAAAATGAAATAGATGAACAAATAAAATCAAACCCGAATATATGTGGAGAGAAGGTTCCATGGAATTGTTACTCGGATGAGGGGGAAAAAGTGTCCGTAAGGGTAGGGCGAGAGGCAGAGGCAGTGAGAGTGAGAGTAAGAGTAAAAGTGCGATTGAGTAGAAAAGAGAGAGAGGGAGAGAGAGAGGGGGGGGTCAGAGTGACAGAGAAAGGCAGACAGACAGACATACAGGCAGACAGTTAGATAAATAGATAGATAGACGGATAGATAGATAGACAGATAGATAGATAGATAGACACAGACAGACATGGGTAGGCAGTCAGACAGACATAGAAACAGAGCGATGGAGACAGAGAGAGAGAAATCGAAAGGTGTCAAGATGAAAAGATGATGAAGCGAACGAAGGAATTTGCGAAAGGGCTGATAGAGGTCGGGGCAAGGGTGAATAACCCCGGGCCGGTGATTAGGGCGGGGAGAGAGGGCAGGGAAAGCACCTAGGGAAAGCGATAAGGGTAGACTCCATTCTCCATCGGCGATATTGGCTCTGTATTCAAGATATGTAAATATACATTCTCCCTCGTGTATGGAAATTATTTTCAGATAATCCCGGGCTTTATTTTAAGTTTGGGCTGAAGACAGTCAGAGCCGGTGATTGTTCTCTTTGATAACGGAGGGCAGGGTAACGTGGGGCCATGGTTACGTTTGTGCACGTGCTCTGTGACGTGCAGTGCCGAGGAGCAGGCGGAGTGCAGGCGTTTCTTCCGTTGATTTCTTTGTTTGTGGGCGATTAATATTGTTTATTTTTAATTATTTGTATTATTAGTATTCTTTATTAGTGTTATTATTATTATCGGTGTAACTGTTATTGTTATCATCATCATCATCTTCATGTTCATCTTCGCCATCATCCTTATTATTACATTTCTTTTTTGTTCGTTCTTCCATTCATTTTTAGCGCCGCGTCTGGGCCGGCCGTCCGTCAGACTTTCTCGTCGTCCTTGTTTCGGCGACACCACCGTCAATTACCAGCTGTCCAATATTTCACGATAATCCTCTACAAATAGCGTCAATCCATCACTTACCTGCAGATATATTAGCGAATTAATAAACCTGTCCAAAAAGTTTTATATATGTATGTATATGTAAGTGTATAATCTTCCTTTTTTTAGAATGTGTCGTAAATCACAACGGAATGAAACGTAAGCCCTTTTCCGCGGCAATTACGAATACGTCGCAGCGTCAGAAAAAACTAGAGAAAGAAGCGTGTTCTCGTAATGTGTTGACCGAACTCACCTATTCTTCTTGTGGAATAATTCTGCTGCACAGCGTCCATTGATTTTACTTTTACTTCTATATTTATCGGGATTATATTTCGAAGATGAATATAAACGAAAGAAAAAGAAAATAAGGCGAAGAAATAGAAGAAGAAATAAAAAGAAATGCGAGCAAGCTTCACTCGCCTACCCCGTTTTAAGGCGACGCATAGATTTATCGTAAAGATACAAAGCAACGCGCGGCGAGTCCAGCAGCGGAATGGAGGGGAGAGAGAGAGAGAGAGAGAGAGAGAGAGAGAGAGAGAGAGAGATTTCGTAACGCAACCAGAGCCCGTCGTAAATTCGCTCCTAACAAAGAAATGATAAATCCCCAGACTCAAGAAAATGGTAATAAATCATCGGACATGTAAATAAACATCAATATATTGAACGTGTCATAGCACACAAGAAGATATCAGATAATGCTGTATGAGAATTAGTGTTTGAATGTTGGTCCAACAGTTTGGGCTTTAATTTAGACAAGTTACGAGGCCATTACAGGGGAGGGGCCGGGCAGTGGGGGCAGGGGGGCAGCAGGGGCAGGCGCGCGCTGGTGGAGCTCGGTTGGGGACTAGCGGATGTTGGGGTCTGTGGGTGGAGGTGGGGGCCGACTGCATGTTGGGGACTGGCGGATGATGGAGGGAGCGGGCATTAAGAGCTTAGGGATGCTGTGGGGAGGAAGCCATGATGTTGGCGCTGGAAGTGGCGGGGCTGGGGGTGGGGGGGGAGGGGGTGGGGGAGGAGGGGGAGGAAGGAGGGCTACCAGAAATAGGGACTACTGTATTCAGCGGATTATTGGAAGAGCCGCATGTTGATTTTTATAGACTACGAGGGTCGAATTCTTGTGTTTTATTTCGACGGCAAGATAGTAGCAACCGACAGCTCATGGAAGCAAAAGCAAGCAAGAAAAGAAGCAGCAAGCACTATTTTTAAAGGTGAAATTGATATCAACAGCCCCTAAAGCAAACACATACCCTGGGAGCCATAGCAGAAAAAGAGGGGGCTAAGGGAGACCTGGGGGCTGCCTAATGTTAAGGACTAAAAGGGGTTTAGCCCTATTAAAAGGCAGTGAATTATGGGTAATTGTAGCCTGCAAGAGCTATTAGCTCCTTGATATTAGGGATTCCACACGCTAGGGGATACTAAACTGCAGGACTCGGGGCTACTGGATGTTAGGACTGAAATATTTAATCCTGATGTAAGCTGGAATACTGAGGATGATAGGGGCGCGTGATTTAAGGGTCGCTTCGTGCATGGAGATGGCTGAATATAGGGAGACGGGGAGGCTGCCGCTCGGGCTACGAGGGAAGGCTGGTTATATTGCAAACTAAAAGATGTTAGAAACGTAGATGTGTGAGCGCATATACAGGCATGTATGTGTGTGTTTGGCAGGCGAACACAAACACGGGCACGCACACACACACACACACACACACACACACACACACACACACACACACACACACACACACACACACACACACACACACACACACACACACACACACACACACACACACACACACACACACACATACACACACACATACACACACACACACACACACACACACACACACACACACACACACACACACACACACACACACACACACACACACACACACACACACACACACACACACACACACATACACACACACACACATACACACACACACACACACATACACACACACACACATACACACACACACACACACACACACATACACACACACACACATACACACACACACACATACACACACACACACACACACACACACACACACACACACACACACACACACACACACACACACACACACACACACACATACAAACAAACAAACAAACAAACACACACACACCAAATTTAATGTTGTTCTTTGTGTGTTTGTATGAATATCGGAGCCATGTTTAATTAGTGGTGCATGTCAGATGCTTGAGGGCAGTGTTATATAAATGAGACTAGTGTGATTGACCGGCCATTGTTAAAAGCATTTGACATAAAGGCTGTTTTATTGATTTAATTGGATATCGTCCTCTGTCAAGAGATTTTGATTAATACACAGTATCCTTAAATAATTGAACTAGTCGAGCTGCAAGTGAAAATATTACAGCTCATTCACATGCGTACGAGCTATTAAGCTGCAAATAACTGCATTATCCACTCAAACTGTGATATGACGTATTGTGACAGCTAATGTTTATTTAATTATGAACCGATAAAGCTTAATTTCATAGTCTTGGGCAATACAGGGGACAAAATAAGCTGCTTTAAGTGTAACATGGAGAAGACATAAAAATCCTGTCTGAAAATACCCAGGAAATATGCCCATTACCCAGTGTAGCTCGTAAAGATGAGTAAATGTCAAATTCATTGAATGTCATATGAATTACTATATACATACAGTATATATTTTCAGTCTCATAAAGCAATGTTTTGATTAACATTGACGCAAATGTTTATGGCTTTCATATTTTATTTCTCTTTTTTTTTGTAGCCGAACTAATATCACACATTACGTTAATAGCGCGACATAATGTTAGCGCGTGAGAGATTGGAACCGAGTCTAAATGGCGTTTGTTGTCGTTGCAG